AACATATGATTTAATATGCACATGAAATTGAAAATGTCCTCCCTGCAGCTGATCTACCTATATTCATTTGACTTGTAGTAATCAACAAACAGAATTTACAGACACCAGAATGTGAATGTCTACCTAAGAATTTCATTGGTTCATCCCTGACACCTACCTCTAAGCATGATGCGGTAATACTACGGTACATGCCATGATAGGCTCACTGTCTACAAATAAACAATCGGATGATCTTAAATAGAAATCTAAAATAGTTCCACATTTATTTATTGGGCATCAAATCTAAACTGAATTTAGAGATACAAAGGAAACCTACATTACATGTATGTACCCCGGTACTTCAAAAAGGGTCAAGATTTGTTTCTAATGTAATTTGTTACGTTGAACATAGGTCAAAGGTTACAAATTTAATTTTTAAATGCAGTTATTTGATATAAATCATTCATGTACGCGTCTTATTTATTATAACACAACTGTATCTGCGGTATATGTAACCAATATTATCTGCTTTGGGACCAACATTTATTAGACTAGAGTTCAAACTGAATTTTAATTCAAAGATTTAAAAAAAAACCATACAATGCTCCGAATGTAACAAAGTGATTGAAAAAACAGACAGATGTTCAGTGAAGGGATACATTTACTATATTGACAGGCATAACATCTATACATATCAAAGACCCTTTTATAGGGTTTATATGGACAGATATATGAATGTGATTTCTGATGTTGATACTTTCTGGCAGCTTAAGTCATGTGATTTCTAGTGTCATGATTGTCAGATTTTGATATCTCCTGTCAGTGTCAAGGTGGCTGATTAGCATAATAACCTGTTGTAAAATACTAGTACTTTATTTTAGCTGGAATTTGTTTTCACTGTTTTTTGTTTTTGGGTGTTTTGTATGGACTTTTTTTTCACTGATTATGCATGTGTTGAATGTAAAATATAGGAAAAAGGTAAATGCACTGTATTTTATTTCTACTAAATCATCCCTTTAGTGAAAATGAATTCTAAGCTAAAAATAAAGTATTTAAAAATACCACGTCAATTCCCCCTTTTATAATGGCCGTTGACAAAATAATAGTACTCGTAAGACAAAAAATTTGCTGTTGCATACATGTACATCGACTGAAGACATTATGGCTACACACCATTATACCTTGTATATCCATAACACTACAGTGGTGCATACTGCAATTGACCAATCACATAGGTTGGATACGCACATGTGACTTCATTTACATAATAAAGATTATTCATTCAGTCAGTCTTGTCACTCTTGCATTTTGATTTTCTCTTGTTGTTTCTTCCAGGTGCACAAACCTAATTGGATGATAAGTGAGTGCAGCTTTTTTTTCACTGACAGATCACCATGAATATAGCAGGAATGTGCACAGTGGTTGGGATGTTACTGGTCGCCCTGCTTCCGTATGCAAATTCCTGTATGCTGAACTGTACCTGTGGATCACGCCATACTATGACGTGTGACAATATGACAAGCATTCCAGAAACCATAACCAATGGAATTAAAACTCTGATATTCCGGGATATCCAATTGACACCTGCGGTGCATGCCAACTTGTTTTCTGATGCAAGCTATCAGGCGGTCGAAACGCTAAAGTTTATCGGGGGGCATTTTGATTTAATTGACGGCCTAGCTTTTCAGAAGTTGCAGGAACTTAAGACATTAACGCTAGAGAAAAGCTTTATTCGACAGCTGCAGCCTGATGCTTTTGATAACACTCCGAAAATGTCGCATCTGATTTTAGTGGGGAATAACTTTTATGAACTGACTCCTGGACTGTTCCAGGGACTAACTGATCTAACTTCTCTGGATTTCACGGACCACAATTCAATGGAGATCAAACCGAATGCTTTTCGTGGATTGAATAGCTTGAAAAATCTTAGGCTAGGAAGAAACCACTTAAGAAGTGTGACAGATGGGAATATCTGGAATGGATTAAATTCTCTGGTGCAACTGGATTTATCTAGTAATGAAATAGAGGAAATCGGTGATGAAGTCTTCAGTCAGCTTCAAACTCTTAAGTTTCTTGACCTTGGAAATAACAGCATGGAAAGTTTCACTCAGGCTAAACTTGCTGGTTTAAACAAACTTGAGCATCTGAGTTTACAAAGAAATCCACTGCAATTCATTCCTAAGTCTGCGCTGCGTGCACTTCCCCAACTCCTCATCCTAGAGTTACAACATTCAGACATCAAAATGATCAAACTTGATGATTTTCAGAATGTTCCAAATCTGAACGGATTGAATCTAGATTACAATGATTTGAATGAAATGCCGATTGAAGCATTGTCGATACTTAGTAATCTCAAATCTTTGCTCATGCGTGGTGTAAAAACGACAACTTTACAGAAGGATGCTTTCAAAAATCTCGGCAACTTGACTGAACTGATAATGTCCCATGGCGAGTGGTCAGAAATTCATGCAGAAGCATTTAATGGTTTGGTGAAACTGCAAAAGTTAGATATCTCGTACAACAAACTGGAGTATCTTCCATCTAAAGTATTTGACATGATTACCGTCAGTGACAAAACCGTGATCAATTTGTCTCACAATCCATGGATGTGTGACTGTCACTTTGGTGATTTCGCTCACTGGTCTTTATACTATTACTCAAATGCAACATTACACAACGTCTTCAAAGATTTGATCTGCGAGACTCCCCCTCAGTTAGAGGGCTACTACATATGGAATGTACCTGCCGACAATTTCACATGTCCACCACCGCGTCCAAAACCAGCAATGAGTCAGATGGAGATTGATGTCATCATTGGCAGCATCGTCGGATGTGTTTTAGTTGTCACCGTTCTAGCCATCGCTGGAACCAAATACTATAAAAGGCGAAGAACCAAAGTGAGGCGACAACGACAACGAAGTGTAAACCTTGTTGTGTGGGATGACAATTCTGAAGAACAAGACCAGGGTATGAACAACCACGATAATAGATCAACAACATCAGTTATCAGTCTATAGCATTATGCTAACACACTTGTGTTATATAAAATTTCCTCCCTGCTGTAAACCATTTATTTTTGTACAGTTTTCACAGAGCTTTGTATTATATTAAGTTTGGTACCTACAATGTACTACTACACCCATTTGCAGTATAAAGTACTTGTATACATCTGGGAACTAGGAACTGAAAATTATGATAATTCCAAATAAGAAATGATGATATTATCAAGATGGCAGATAGATATATCCTACCTTATTAGGAAATAAAAATTCCAAATAAGGAATACTTTAAGGAGTACTGTAAAATCTGTATTAGACACTGTGGCTTTTATTAAAATGGTAAAATGCAACAGAGGGGATGCGGCTTCTATTAAAACATCTACACATATGAGAAATGATGAATTTTTGGTTCTCAATTATTCAAAAATACTGGGTGTGACTTATATCAGAGATGTGGCTTCTAATACAGATTTTACAGTACATGTATGTCATATTGCCAATACAGTGGGACATATTTCAAAACAAAGCTCACGTTGAGAATTTTCCATCTCTTAAATCAGACTAAGACCACTACAGTTGTCACAAATTCTTTTTTAGTTAATTTTAAAGAAAATAAAAAAAAAAATCAGAATTGAAAAGTATTTTAGAAATAAAAAGCCCCCTGCGCGGGATTCTAAAAAAGAAATTGATCAGAAACATTTCTTTTTTTGTTCTTGTCCTGATATAAATAAGGTTTTTGTAAGGATATGGGATAATTGCCTTAACCTCTGCACTGTGCAGGTCAATACTCTTGTTGCAACATGTGCACTCTAATAATAACTTAATTAACAAATTATTGCATGTGGAACTACTCAAACTTTAACTCAATCAGTAGTTTTGTACTCTAAAATGACAAAACACTCAATTGTAACATGTCATACAGTAAAAATACTTTATCTTAGCTGGAATTAATTTTCGCTAAAAAGAGTTTTTGTGTGTTTTGTATGAATTTATTTTCATTGATTATTGATGAGTTGAAGTTAGGATCAATATAGGAAAAAAGGTTTATTCGCTAGATTTTATTTTCACTTCATCAACGAAAATTAATTCCAAGCAAAAATAAAGTATTTTTAATGTAGTAACTATTCGTGATTGAATGTTGGTATTGATTAGATTTATTCAAATAATACTTCAGGTATAAAATACCACCCATCCTACAGGAATAGCCTTATTTTTAAATGCATGTTCAGTTTTAGTTGATATTCAGGTCATTTTATTGATAGGATCGTAACAGATCTTTTTATGTTGTTACTAGCAACTATCAAAAAACAGGATTCTTATCGTCTTGGCTCATCAAATTCCAGGCATTTATATGGACTTTTTACAACTATTTGTTATTTGAATTTAAGATCTGTTTTAAGGTAGCTCGCTACCATTAAGTTAAATTACTCAGAAATCCTAGAAGAGCAAGAGTGGTTGGGTTACTGTAATGTTCATAATTCTGAAACATGTTCACTGAACTAAGTTTTCCACAAAACAACCTTGAAAATTGATAAAAAATGCGTGTTTTGAGTAGTTTACAATTGGTTCCTATGACAGAAACATTCCATCATACCTCAACTTTTTGTTCGGTTACCTATGCTGACAAATTATATGTAGCATTATGAGGGCTAGATATGGCGGTCACAAAAAATTAAGGAATTTTGAATATTAGTATAAATTATCAATGGAATACTATGATTACATGGCCATGGAAAATGTCCCAAAATGGACATTTTTGGATTATTTTTCTTGAAAACACGTCTATTTTTCCTCTATTAAAACTTTTAACTTGACTTGCATGTGTGTGAATTATCACACAACTATTTTTGGTTGATTGGTGTGATAAATTGTTGCTGTGTTTTAATGACAGTGAACTACCTTAACAATAAATTCACACAAATATTACAAGAAAAGGCCAGTAAATCACGAATATATCTCCTTGAATATATAATATATCACATCATTCATTACAAAGCACACTTGATGTCGTCGTTTTGTCGTGTTTAAAGTAAATAGAATGATCGTAGTAAAAATTTAGCACGACTGGTTTAAAATTTCAAATAGTAGGGATATAATTTTTGCTGACCTCATTAAAAAAAAAGTCTCTTATTTTGTATCCAAAGCAGGGTTAGGAACAATAAATAGGCACTGCTAAATTATGTGGTCCTTTAAGAATGCAGGAGTTTCTGGAAGTAAAATTCACACTAACTATTTTCATAAAAAACCCATATCAAACTATATTTCATGAAAGCTCATAATTCGCACTCATAAAAAAAATTGATGTTGCAACAACCTTCATGTGGTCATGTGACTTCTAAGAACATAAATGCTTTATTGAAGATGCATAGAAACTAAAAAGGATACCACAATTTTGTTTATAGAAAAATGTAGAATCATAAAAGTCGCAGCTTTTTTTGAAAAATTTCTAATTTTGCATTTTCACTAGAAAATTTGGTTTGCTTTTTTACATTTGGATAGGGAAATCTTTAGAATGCATAAATTTAACAAAAATTGCTACAAACATGTATGTTCATATATATTACAATCTCTGAAAAAACTGAAAGGGTCTGATGAGTGCTTGGTGGTTAGTACTCGTATGATTGATCATTTTGAAGTCAGAATTAAAACAAATATTCTAATTTGCATATGAATAGTGGAGTTGCTGCGTTACCGGTATTTCTATTAAATGGTCACAAATCGTCTGTAACTATAATGTTTTGACACCCAGTAAATTGTAGATGGTGGGGAAATATCAAAAGATGTTCTAAAATTATTTCATACTGTGCTTTATTTAAAATGCGTGGAAATATGCAAATCTAGTCAGCAAAACAATGTAGGTTGGCAATTTTGACTACTGTTTCAAAAAATGATCAATTTATGATAGAGCTCTGAAATTTTATGGAATAATTAGATATACCGGTACTTATAGATTCTATAAAATATAAAAAGTTCATTTTGACTATTATAATGTGCCAAAAAAAAAACCCTCTTACTACATACTTCAATTAAGGAAGGACCATTCGACATGCAAGTAGCCATGAATGAACAAAATGTGTAAATATTATTAAAATATCCTCACCGCTATCCTCAAAGTGTCCCTGCACAAAGAATAATTCTATGAAATGTCTTTGAAGATTTAAAGTAAAAGTAAATTCCATTCAGGCATGAATGTTTTTAATAGAAATTGATTAAATATTTATAAAACATTTCCCTTGGAAGACTCATTTACCGGTACTTCATTTAGATCCAGTGATTATGCTTTCATTGGCTACAGAAGCCATTAGGTAATGCCTGTTACCTGTGAGTCTCCTTCAATCATTGGCTGATTTTTTGCTAGGCTCATCGTGATTGGCCAAGATCTAATTTATAAATATTTTAATTGAAAAAAAACAACAGTCATGTCTTTATGAAATTAACTAGTGTTTTCTTTCATAATAAAAAAAGGGGGGTATAAATATGCCTTCATGAAATTAACTAGTGTTTTTTTCATTATAAAAAGAAAGTGGGGGTTTCAAATGGTAGACATGGATGCTTAATTAAAGGGACACAACCTGTATTTTTGATTCTATATACCCGGTAGTCAAAAAAATTAAAGAAAGACTGAGGCCAAGCTACTAGTCTTTCTTTTTTCTTTATAAATTCCCACCAAATATTTGCCAGACATAAATCATGCTCAGGACTCAAAATTGTTAGCTCTGATGATAGTGACAGGGGGCTTCATCAAAGTAAAGTTCAGGAATCACAGGAACTTGTAGTTCAATTATTCAATAGTAGTTCAATAAAAATTCAATTATTTTTATATATCTATATCGTCCATTCCATATTTTAAAGCGGGGCAGTCGTCACCTGCGCATGCGTCAGATGGCCATAACATGTCATTGTTTACAAACAAGCGTCTACCCATGAGCCTTTGCATTTTTAGCGTATGTTGTCATCGTCACTTGGGACTCAATTTCTGTGCATGTGCAGGTGACTACCCTCCTGCTTTAAGGTCCTTGGGCAATTCCACCATTATTACGATTATTATTTGACTTATTTGTCAAGTGCCAGAATTTTGTGTAAATGAACAAAGTATTTTACATGTTGAGTTTTACGTATTGTCGCATGGGACCCATATCGAACATGACGTATTGAGATGCTTTATAATGTTAACCATGTGACATGCATTTGTTGGAATATTTCATTCTTCCCATAATGCACTGCAGGGATATTGATCAGGGCTGCAACATTGCTGGGAAATCAAACGAAGGGTAGATGACTGCAAATTTTATTGTGAAACTCATTTATAAAAGCACATCACTTCTAGCTATGTATTATATATATATATTGAGTTTAGTCATCTGTAATTACTGAGTATTTTTTAGAGTACATGTACTTTTGTAATAAAAAAAAATTTTTTACATAGAAAATTGAATGTCATGCAATGTGACATACATCGCACAATATGCTGTAATAGACGCATATTTCGGGATAATTGTGTCTTCTGTGAAGATTTTATACTGACTTGGTTTTTACCTTGCCCATACCATCAAAGATGGAAGGGAAAGGTATATTAAGGGAAAGATTTTGTCCGGCGTTGTCGTCGTCGTCGTCGTTAATAATTGTTATTGTGTGCATGATAACTTTACTAATTCTATTCCGAACTTCATCAAACTTGGTCACCTTGTTCATCTGTGTAAAGTCTTCCCTGAGTTTGAACAACAGATGTCCTGTATGAAAATATCATGCAAAAATTGAGAAAAACTGATAAAATATTTCGACTGTTTCTACTTGACTGATCACTGGTGATACACATCAAAGGTCACTGATCTCAGTGGAAATATGCATTGTTGTATGTGTTCAATGAAGCAAATGATTTATCTTGTAATAATATCCTTGGTAATGTATCTCAGAATCCCTTACTGGGTTTCAAAACCAACTCATGGAGAGATT